CAACAAAAACTTGTCTTAAGTTGATCTTCAGGGGATCAAATGTATACTTAATTTCTGTTTGGCAATGATGTACATTTCTGTTTTCAAGTGTAGGAATCCTTGGAGATTGATGTTCCCTGTGAAAGTGACTCTAAGGAGGCACCGGACCCAATCTTTCTAAGGACCATTGCTTTGCATTTCATATCCTATCCTAGATCATTCCAAGAGATGCCACTGGGTAGTGGACCTACAGCTCTTCTAGTGAAGCAGAAAATACTTAGGAGCAGCTCCTGAACTGGCTTGTCAACACTCCAGCCTTCCCCAGAAGCCAACACCTATAAGGAAAAGCTGCTGGTCCTTTAACAGTCTGATGCAGCACAAGTGGAAGTGGGATTTCTAAAAGGTCTCTCTCAGCCTGAGTATAAATTCCTGCCAGTCGCTCCAAAATAGTTCAGCAATAACTTGTTAAGTCTGCTGTTCATGGTCCTGAAATCAAATCTCAAGTGGCATTCAGCCACTTACCTGATATTATTCCTCATGCAGAATAGTTGATTGAATCCCAGATGAAGTTGTGTCTCAGAACTCCTCTATAGATGAAAGATTATTTTTTTAAAAAAGGTAAAGGTTTCCCCATGACATTAAAGTCCAGTCATGTCTGACTCTAGGAGGCGGTGCTCCTCTCTGTTTCCTAGCTGAGGGAGTCAGCTTTTGTCCACAGACATTATTTAGAAGGGGTATGAAGTGCATGGAATGCTGTTATCTTCCCACCAAAGTAGGACCTTTTTATCTACTTGCATTTGGACGTTTTCAAACTGCAAGGTTGGCTGGAGCTGGGACGGAGCAACCAGAACTTGCTGTGTTGTGTTGATTCAAACTGTTGACTTTTTGATCAACCAGCCCAGCAGCTCAGCAGTTTAACCCACTGCACCACCTCATCCCCCTGAAAGATTATTAGTACTAGTTAAATTCTTATATACCAACAAGTCTCTCCCTCTCTCCCTCCCCCCGCAAAAAAAAAAAAAAAAAAAAAAAAACTACTAGAACACACAAATTGAAAATCTGTGGTATTAACTGAACAATCTATTTTTTCCCAGGAGTATTGCAAGGGGATTCATGAAAAATCTATCTGGAAAGGTCAAAACAGCTAGGCTCCAGGCTTTGAGAGCATCTAATACTGTTTTAAGTTTTGCATTCACAAGAGAACATGTGCTCACCTGATCGGAAGGTTCTTCAAAAACAAGTGAGCCTTGGTTGATTTATGGCATTGATATTTGTTGTCTGAGAAATATAACAATTCAAAAGTTTTTCAGAACTCTCTTTTAAAAAGACTCTTCCCTATATCAAGTATAAGAACAGAAGAAGAATCATGTTTATTCTTGGTATCTAGTCCAGCATTTGTCCCCACAGTGGCCAACCAGTTGCCTGAAGGAAGTGGGACATGAGTACAATGGCACCATCCAGCTCACATTCTCCAGAAACACATTGCCTTAGATACTAGAGATAATATATAGCCCTTATGACTGGGAGCCATTGATAATTGTATCTTTTATTAATTTGTGTAATGCTGCTTTAAAGCAATCCAAGCTTGTGGCCATCACCAATCTCATGGTAGTGAATTCCATCATTTAATTATGTACTTTTTGAAGAAGTATTTCTTTTTCTCTGTCACTTTCCCACTATTCAGTTTCATGGATTCACCCAAGTGTCTGACATGATGGGAAAATAAGGAAAAATGTGCCCCCCTTCTATCTACCATGTATTATGTATTGTCATCTTTTATTTCCCATTGAAACAGTCCTGGACAGTGTAACCTTTCCTCATAAGGGAGTTGCTCTAGCTCCAGTACCTGTGCTTTCTGCAGAGCCTGGGATTTGTTTAGGTAAATCTAATAAATCTATTTATTGTTCTTATAGAAGTAAATACAACATTTGAATGGCAGACTCTCCAATAAAGATTAGTTGAAAAATCACTATGGATCGTATGCATAGCTAGGCCAAGAAATGTGACAATACTATGCTTGATTATAGATTGTTCCTTAATGAAAGACCATCTGTCTGTAGCTGTAACTATATGGGATATTAAGAATATGATTAAAGAATCTGACAGACTGTCTGATAGAGATTAGGTATTGAGTCTGCAAATTTCCCAGTGCTGTAGGATCATTAAGTGCAGCCCTCAACCTGCAATGTAGTATAACTGGAAACCCTCAGCATATCTTCTGTACTATAATTTACACATAAATAGTCCTACCAGCTAGTCTTCCTAGAAATTGTAACAAAGTGACTAGAATATAACATCCCAGATTTTTCAGTTCTCATGGTCTCAGAAAGGATTAAAATTTAAAGTATTTGTACTTGATGAGAACTGAAAACCATTCTTATGTTGATTGGCACCTCTTGGGGGAAAAACAGGCTTTTCTTATGCAGCTTTTTTTTTTGTCTGGGGTCAAAAATGATCCCAAATATGATGTACGCTAATTTTTTGTTAGTGCAAGTTAATTCTGCCCTTGGGTTATATTTGCATAATCAAACTTTCTGCACCTTGTACTTTTCAATTCATCTCTCTCTACTTTTAACCCATGTCTTTTCATATTTGGTGCATCTAGTGGTCTGTTATTGAACACTTATTCATTTGAAAACTGAGCCTTTCTCAAAACATTCCTAAACGTTATGGCTCAGTCTGTTTTTAATTGCTTGCTTTATTTTAGTTCTGGGTTGGGGGCAAGGAAAAGGAGAGATTTCCTGGTGATGTTCTCATCATAATTTCTGGATGAGATTTATATTCTATTAGCTCTTGAGAGGTTTATAATTTATTGAATCTTCCTGTTTACTTCCACTATCCAGAACTGAAGATTACCTCCCCCACAACCTCATTTATACTGGGGAGACGCTATTTGCTTCTGCCAAGCTTGCCCGAGGTAAAGACCACCAGCAGACGGAGCAGCAATTCAACCAGAAGTCTGGACCTGGTTAAGAGAGGACTGTTCAGATAACTGAGAACTGGATTAGGACAGCTGTGAGGAAACCTGCCTGGCTAACAGGCAGAAACTGAGGAGTTTTATAAGATAGCTGGCAGGAGGCAGCTCCCCATCTTCCTGAAGATCAGCAGGCTCTGACTGGGGGCTGCGGCTAATGTTCATGAATAGAGCTGAAGAAGACAAGGCCATGGGCTGCCACATGGTTCACTGGCACTGGGTTTTGATCTGTTCCATGATCTCCTCTGCTTCTACAGTCATGTGAGTGATGGTGGAGGCAAAATATAATTGGCTCCCTCAGTTTCACAGCCTGTTAGGTTGTGGTGTACTGTTCTGAGTCTCAACTGTGGCCACAGTAAATCTCTCCCCATCCCCTCGGAGAAGGGTTTATTGGGCTTAAGAATGATGTGGGGTTATTCATCTTAGATCTTATCCATTGGTTTCTCCCTTGACTTGTGGAAAACTCAACTGTGGCACAACGAAGTTGGACCACTGTTGGTTTAGTAGGATATTCCTTTAAATATTGTGAAAAGTGCACTAGCTTCCAAAACTAGATACAGAATGGCAAAATATTTTGTCTTTTTCACAAATCTATCTATAATATATGAGGAAAAATCACTATTGCATTATTCTAACAGGTTCTAATGTGATTCTATCCTATTCATTTCAGCAGCATCACAGTGCAGACCCTTCTGGCCTTGTTTCCTTAATATGAATTGAATGAAATGAGCACATCAGAGAACCAACTTGAGCACTTACAAAACATATCATCTGGGCAGTCAAATACATTTTACCTGAATTTTCTTTGCCATTATCTGTCATATAATTCACACCAAAGAAATAAACAGCAATGGACGAGGGAATCTAATTGCTTAAAACCTTTAAAAGCTAGAAGAAGATTAGGCTAGGGCAGTAAGCACCTTGGAGGGCGGTATAAAATCTTTCAGGTGCTACATGACTGGCTGCCTCACTCTTGCCTAATACTTTGCCTGCCTTTTAGTGTTCAGAGAAAAGTCATGTGAGCTTGGAGAAGAATGCATGCAAGGGCTGCCGGAGTACAGAGCTGGCAGAGTGAAAGTGGGAGAGAGAGAGTGTGTGAGAGAGATTGCTTGGTACAAAGGTAAAGTGCAGGCTGCAGTTACTGCTTTAGCAGCCTTGGAGTGAAGGATTGCAACCCAGCTTGGTACGCAGGAGTGCAAACCCTCGAGGTGCCAGGAGACTACAACAGGCAAGGAGAAGGTCCTTTTCAACTTATGAAAATATCTCTTGAAAGTCCTTGCCCTGCTTCCCTGAATTTTTAAAACAGGTAAGGATGCTATTGTATTGTTTCCTTCCTTTTATTTACTATGTTTTTTTTATTGAAATGCAATCTGTGCCCTCCACTGATTACAGAGGAATGCCTGTTCCCAAAAAATGTTTATCAATCCCTTCTTACCTTAGCTAATAAGAAATTCCTTATTGTTTGCAGATGAAATGAAAGGATTGAGGAGAAAGGATCAGACTGAAATGTATCCTGAGCCAGTGTTGTGGTGTGCCTCAGTACATCAAACTTACCTATAGAACTCTTTAAGCTTTTGGTCCCACAGCTCAATATTTTAATAGTAGTTTAAAGGCATTTCCACCTTATTATTGTGCTTCTTTTCTTTAGCCTAATTTCTGAACAGCTTGGAGCAAATCCAGTTTTTTCCCCTCAACAATTTATACAGGACCAAATTTGTTCAAATCAAATCATTTTAGCACAGCAGGGATCTAGATTATGCTATTATTTTTTAGAGAGCTGTGTAGTAGACAAACTATATTGTTATGATTGCCTCCCACCATTATGAGCTTTCCTCTTTCCCTCCCTGTTGTCTCCTCTTAAAATATTTCTGGAACCACTCAGGACTATAGAAAGAACAACTTTCATGCCTTTAGTGCCTGCACCAACAATTGCACCAATTGCACATGCATATTATTCCTCTCTTCTTTTTCCTCCAGAGTATTCAGCTGCATCTATCTTCTTCCTTGCACTTTATCTTCTCTACCTGGGCTAGAAGTTGAATCCTCCATGGAATCCCCAGTATACATTTTTCGTGAAGAGCCAGGGCCCACCTGTTCCCCAGGACCCTGCCCCTTTCCAAGCAGTAGCTGGCTTGTTGACTGGGCAGAATATGGAAACAATAGTGGTGGCCTTTATGATGACCTACAGCAGAATCACACCAATATCTCCCCAGCTATTCCTATAATCATCACTGCTGTCTACTCCATGGTCTTTGTGGTGGGCTTGGTTGGCAACTCTCTGGTCATGTTTGTCATCATAAGGTAAGAGATATGCAGGAAGTGTTACTGTGGGCCTTTTAAGTTTCATTATCAGGGGAAATTCACATAATTAGGAGAAAGAAACTAAGGAAAAAGTGATGGTGGGGACAGCTCTTTGCGGGGGTCCATTACTGAGTATCATTGATGCCAGAGTTCTAGGATGCTCAAGTTTTTGGAAAGATGTATCCTTCTGCTCTAACTGTAGGATTCAAGTTGGACATCTTTGAATTCACATTCTAAACAACCGAGCAATGTGTAGCCAGATCAGTGTTTGCATGTAATGGCATAATCTCAGAGAGTAACTGTTACTGGGAAGCAACCTTACTTGATACGATAATCATTTCTTTTCTGAGAAATAGTTCCTTGCCATTCTAGTCTTGCATTACTAGGCTAAACCAACCATGGGAGAAACTGCCATCTGGACACAAGCATAACTGTCTATTTGTTTGTGAAACAAAAATTACTGAAAAATGAAACAGAAGATGGACTTTTAAGTTGCACTGTGTACAATTTGGACAATCTGTTTGAGGAGTTGGAAAGAAGTATGTGAGTAGAGCTCCCCCCAGAGATAAAAAGCAGTTAATGTTTTCTATGTTCTTATTAATGTTATATATACTATACACATGCACACACAAACTGCCCATAGAATATAACATATTCATACAATATTTAAACTAGTTTGCCTGTTTTCCTACTTTTAACTTCCTGCCTTCTTTTTTCAAATATCTGTGTTTCACAGTGTATGTTACAGCCCATCAGGGAAGATTTCCCTAGGCTCAACAGAGCCCTATTTTACCCCATATATGTGCAGGCAGTCACTGGAATGAATGTGAGGATGCTGTGCAGTCCATCCAACTCTCCTCTCAATACAGTTTGCTTATGTTTGTGTGCATGAATAACTTGGCAAGAAAAAAGTAGTTTGCATAAGTTTGCTGAAAATAGCAAAAACTGCTGAACATTTCAAAAACTGGAAAATGCTCCTGTGCATTAGTAACATGCATTGAGTGCACTGAGGGAGCTGCAAGGAAATTGATGGTATGTAGTGATCTTCCAGTAATGATATTGTGCCCTGGCCTTTATAGGTTGGGTCAAGGGACCTTGACTGAGCTTATTGGAATCATCTATGCATGGATATCATGGATATCATACAGTGAAACAGATATCCCAAGATGTTTGTGCATTTGGACTGAAACTATTAAAAGTTTGTGCTCCATACACAAACACATACACATGTTTTTGTGTGTCCAGTATACATGAGTGATATTTGCGTGTGTGTGTGTGTGTGTGTGTGCAGAGGGGGATCTGATCTCTATCAGCAAAGCTCAGGGAACCAAGGTTCCATTTAGATACCAGGAAGCACTTCCTGACAGTTAGGATCCCGAGGGTATGGAATGGGCTTCCACGAGAGGTCATTGAGGCCCCATGGGTGGGGGCGTTCAAAGATAGGCTGGACATGCACATGGTGGGCATGTGAGCGGAGCTGGCTAGAGCCGGGGATCAGACTAGATGGCCCGGGAGATCCCTTCTGACTCACTCTGTTTCTATGTTTCTATATATTCAGATTTCATGCAGTTGAGTTTTTATTTTATTTTTACCTGAAAGGGGCTTCTGTGGTTTTTGATTTTGATTGAAACCTGGTGCCGAGAGTTGCCTCCCTTGCCACTTTTATATTCTAAAATTCCCCCTCCCCAACAAAGCATCTAACAACCCTGCTGCAGGAAGGACAGGCATCACACAGGTTACAGTATGTTCCACCCTAGCAGAAATAATAGAAGCTTCAGCAGGGGTAATTTACATGAAGACAAAAGATGGAAGAGCATTAGACCTCACCTCCCCTGCACTTCTCAGATCAAAACCAGAGACTCAACCAGCTATTATAAACGGGGGAAAACAGTGCTGAGAGAGTGGATCAGATAGCACATGCTATATCTGTTTGGGGCCTCTGCTTCTTCTTTTTGTTTTCTTTGTATTCAAAAGAATTTTTTTTACTGATTTTGCAGGCAGACCATTCAGTTTAATGAATTTCCAGTGTATTTCACATTGCACTTGCAATGTTTGGCCTCGTCTGTCACAAGGTTCTTAAATGCTACAGTTATTTTCTGTACTTGACTGTTTGAAGATAAAGCATATCTCAGGTTAATGTATCAGCAAGCCAGACAGGTGAAGAAGGTGGACAAAGAAAAACAACAACAACACTCAGACTGAATAATGTTTCTGAATAAAATTAAGCATGCAACTGAAGAACATTAACATCTGTTTGTAATCCTCCAGAGGAAATCCCTCTAAACCACCAGCATGCATGAATATATTACTGGGATTCATTAAAATATATAACCTATAGTAGGAATTAAAGAGGTAGTGTGAGATAGAGAACATTTCTTTGTGCCTGGTGTGAGACCATCCATTTGCAGTGTTCACCCCTGTATACACGGAGTGAATTATTTTCTAAAGGCTTAATTTCTAGCCTAGACTCTTAACTCCTTGAAACAGCTGTCCTTAAGTTAGCACATTTCCTTCAGTATTCTGTATTACATGTGATTTGAGCTCTGTTCCATGGCTTCCCTAATTGCTTTTCAGACAAGAGGCTTTAATTCTCAGAGCTTCCCATCTGTAAAATGGCTATATGTTTTCTAGAATGTCTTCTGCACACTTAACATTTTGTTGTTGTCATGTGCTGTCGAGTCATCTCTGACTTAGGTGAACCTATGAATGATAGCCCTCCAAACTGTCCTCCCCATGACTACTCCATTCAGCTCTTCCAAGTTCAAGGCTGTGGCTACCTTTATGGATTCAATCCTTTTCATTTTTGGCCTTCCCTTTTGTCTTCTGCCCTTAACTTCCCTAAATGCTGCCAATATGTGTACTAGATATTTGGCTTGCTACATGGGCTGTGCTCCCCTGCTTCAGATAAGTGCTCTGTTTTGTGCTTGTGACATAAGATAAGGAATGTGCAATGTCTGCTTATCCAGTATAACATTTAGTGAAAGGGGATTTTTGTAAAAACAATTATGTATACTTACATAACTTATCATTTCTGTGGATTCTGCCCCTTCCTCATCCTTAACTTTCCTAGATGTTACCCTTTAGGGTGATTTCAGATACCAACAGGAGTTGGTATTTCTAACCAGCAGCCTAAATTCTGCTTCCAATTTCCTTCCATAAATTTTAGCTCCTGCATGTAGTTTCTGCTTTAGTGTTCTTGGGCATCCCCAGGGAGTTGAGAAATTCTCATATGCTTCCCCACTTGATATCAGTATTGCACAGCATTTTTGGCTCTGGGACCCACATGCCACACTGGTTCAAGATTCAGTGTCCTTCCCCACCACACCCCATGCATGCATACATTTGAATGAGGATTTGTATGAGGCTGTCCTGTCAGTTTCATGGTGTGTGTGTGGCAGGGGGAGGGGACATCTGAATTGCCAGAAAAGAGAAACAAGAAAGATCAGTGATTTACATAACATCATATATGATAATTTGTGTATGTATTAGGATTAAATTTTGAAACCATTATTGTAATTTAAGTAGAAATAGAGTATATCTCACCGTAGTTTGGAAATCTGTCAGGTCACCTGTGCGCCTGTATGCTGAATCTGCTGTGAGGTGCTCATATTAATGGGCAACTATGCTTAGGCCTTAGGGCTCTTTATCTTCAGATCATAATCCAACAGTACAGTCCTTCAGGAAGTGGTCTGCCCTCCCCTTCAATCAGAAGACCATCCCACTTGTGTCTGTTCCCAACCAGCATATAACACCTCTGTTGCTGGAGGTAACATATAGCCATCAGGACTAGTAGCCACTGATACCTTATCCTCCATGACTTTGCCCAACCCTCTTTCAAGTCATCCAAATTGGTGGTCACTGTTACATATTGTGATAGCAAATTCCATTGCTTGACTATGTATTTTGTGAAGAAACACTTCCTTTTATCTGCCCTGAAGCTTCCACTAATAATACCACATCTTAATATTGTGAGAGAGGGAAAAAGATGCTTCTCTATCCATTATGTTTTTTAAGCTAAACAGTTGTAGGCATTGTAACCCTTTCTCATAAGGGAGCTGTCTTTCTTAAACAATTCTGTTGTTCTATTCCTATTTTCCATTGCAAGAGTGTATATGCAGGAATGTTTAATTCTGATTAAATTGGGATGCATAGCTGAGCAATGTAGCTGTGGTTTCAGCCTTGGATGGTTGACAAAGCAAGGATAGACAAAGAAACTATAGTCTTTATGGTGGCTGCATAAAGGAAATGTGTGTGGGGAGGAAGCATACACATGATGTTATCTTGTACTTAGCCTATGATTGTCTTCCCGGATTGGCTGTCATGGAATAATGCACTTCCATCTGAGATCTTTTTAATTGGACATGCCATGAATTGAATCTGGAACCATGTTTATGCAAAGTGTATGCTCTATACTTAAACCATTCTTTTCTGGGGATTAGGCAAGGACAAGAATAAGGGACAATATGTGTTTTGAATGTGTGAGATTTTGTAGGAAGGAAATGTGGGGAAAAAAACCCTTTTGGAGATGTTCCATTTGACAGTGGTGATCTATTGAATACTGGAGTACAGAGCTGAGACAACAAAACTAAATTTAAGACCTTCCCAGAGACTGATCTTGCCATGTTTAGAGGATGAAGCCAACCACAGTCTACCCAGATGTCATTACCCCATAATGCTCCTATTAGCAATAACTTATTGTTATCCAGCACTCACTATGGCATTTTATTTATTTATTTATTGCATTTATGTGGCTCCCAGGGCAGTTTACAAATATTGTTTCTGAAGCTGAAGGATAACTGTGATTCTTTAAAAATGAAGATATCAAAAGTTAGGGCCACTCAACATAAAAAGACAGGTTGAATCAAACACCTATTTGTTGAGGCTACTAGCTATTTTGATAAGTTTGCAAGCTTCAACTAGCACTGTGAAAGGAAGGATTTGTGCTTATACTGTAGTTCTTTTCTTGAACACCATACCATGGAGAACTCAAGACAGCTTCA